GATACTCATCGGAGTTTGCCCACCTTCACTAAAGATCACCCTTAGGGAGCGTGCCCACCTATACTAAAGGAGATCCGTAAAGAATTAGCAAAATCACGCAAAAATTTTATATTTGCAGATGCATTATCACATGTTATAGCTATTAGTTTAGAGAGAATTTTATTTTTTTGAAGGCAATCTTCCATAGCATTTGCAATTGCAACACCTGTATGTGATTCCTCCATATGAATAAAATCGAGTAGAATATGTTTCATTTTCCACGATGCATTTAGATAGTGAACCGTGATGGCCATGAACGATTTTTCATTAGTCGAAGTTGTCCAGATATCGGTTGTTACTGATATACGTCCAGGAATTTCCTGCAGACTTTTTTGAAGCTGCTCACGTTCTTCCTCAACATTGTTCATAATATGTTGCTTTATAAGATCAGCGGAAGGTACTAAAGAAATTCATAAATATTTAGATTTTTATTTTTATTTTACCATTAAATACTGCATCGTCGCTCCGGAGCATTATTTAGGAACACATTGCTTGAAGAAAGCTAATAATTAATCTAGCCAAAGACTTTTAATAATGAAAAATTATGATTCACATTCAGTTCAATTAATTATTAGCTCTCTTCAAGCAATATGTCTCAAAATAACACCCAGTGTGTTATTTCGAAATGATACAGTACATTTACTTAAAATGCTTTGCTATTACCTACTACAAGAGGTTCTAAATAAGTAAGTATCTCTCTAAGTTCATCGTCTTCAACAATCTGAAATGATCGATTACGTTTTACAACCCATCTCTTCAACAAATCAGTAAGTTTTTGTTGGCTAAAGGGTTCATGACGACGGCTTTGATTATTTAGCATATCCAAAACACTTGTGCCCCCTTCTATATTTTGTTCTTTCAATTCGGGTACTTTTGCTTTATGTTTTCTCTTGAGATGCTTTAAAAGATTCGATGTTGTTCCATCACTGTATATTAACTTCGTACCGCAAATACCACATACCGCACGACCTTCCTTCTTTTTTTTTAGAAAAATATTTCCACACGATAGATCTATGAAATAAAAAAAAAAATTAATAAAATAAAGAATATCGACATAAGATTTACTAGGATGAACACATTATAATTAATCAAAACTATGTGAGATTAACCAATAAATTAAATTTTGATCAATTTATATTTTTCTATATCAATCAATATAAAATATATCTACAAATTTTGATTTTAATAGAAAATTTTTTCTGTAATTTGGTTCCTATACTATTATTATTATAAATAGAAAGAGGTCGAGTTACAAATAACAGATTAATAAGTTTATACGTCTAATTTATTATTATAATAGAACGTATTAATGAACATTGGCATCAGATAATCATTGACTAAATCTTCAAAAAATCTGTACTTAATAGATTTGTGAATTTGTAGACATAGTTTTGATTGATTATAATATGTTGCACCTAGAATTTTACATACTTTGTAGATTCATTGGGGCATGGTTCATTTTGGCTTGTTTCATCTTGATTTGACTTACCAGTGCGTTCATCAGGGCGTTTGTCAGGGCATTCATCAGAATGTTCTTCAGGGTGTTCTTCAGGGCATTCTTCAGGGTGTTCTTCAGGGCGTTCTTCAGGGTGTTCATCAGAGTGCTCATCAGGGTATTCGTCAGAGTGTTCGTCAGGGCATTCGTCCGGGTGTAATTCAGCTTGATATGACTC